ATTGACAATAGAACCCTCTCAATCCCAAGAACCAAAACTAAGACCATCGGTGAACGCTCCTTCTACTTCCATGGGCCCACGTTCTGGAACCAGCTCCCCTTCCATATCCGTCATTGTGAAACCTCGTCCACTTTTAAAAAGTCCCTTAAAACCCACCTGTTTAGGTCCGCCTATGACCTGTGATGCACCCTCCTTGCCCTGCCTCATTTTCTGTCTCGGGTTAATCCTGTAATATAGGCCAAAACGTGCCAAAGTGTCCTCGTTTTATAGCCATTTTAATTGTTTCTATAGTATAGTAGTTACTATCCTAATGTCTCATTTTTATTTTAGTTAGTTTACATGTTTTTAATAATTGTAAAGCGCTTAGAGCTTTAAGGTAAGCTCTAGATAAAAATGCCTAAATAAATCAATAAATAATCTTAGTGAATATTTTAGTGCGTCGTTCTTTTAATGCGAAATAAAAATAAAATTTATTTGATCTAAATAATTACGCAAATGACGTTATCGCACGATTGCCTATTTTAGCCACAGCTCCAAGTTTCTTTGATTTTACAACCGTGCGTAACAAAACTGAAAATATATTTTCCCCTTTTTAAAAGTAAGATTAAAAAAAAAATAATAATTTGTCTATTAAATTGCTATTTTTTGTCTAAAATTAAATACAACTTTAGCTATATGTATTTTTAAAATTTAATACGTTTTTACTTTTTATTCTTTCTAAAAAAAACTTTTATGAAAGCTATAAAGTAGTAAAACAATTAAACTTTATATATACTTTTAATTCGAAAATGCCATTTAATTCAATCAATGCAGTTAAACTACATTTCCAAATAACATTCAATAATGCACTTATCACTCATCCAAATAAGAACAAACCACATGAAGTGCAAAATATGTTAGTTTGGGTATGGAAGGGACTAAAATCCAATGAAAGTTTTTATTAATTTTATTTAAATTGTGGGGAGGGGGTGTTGGTCATTTTGCCCGAGACAACAAAAAATACGTCTCCAAATCAAGGAATGGATTTTATAAATAATTAACCAGCTTTTGTACATACATATCGGAGGTAGGACATAGGATGTGTACATTTTTAAGTGGATGACAATATATTTAATTCCTAAGGTATTACATTTGTGAAAAAAGAGATGTTACATACTTTATTTGCAAATAAACTATGTTTACAAATTAAGAAAATCAATGGCGTTAACAAGAAGTGAGAACATGTATATAAGTATACCAATGAATAAATCAAAACCCGATCATTTTACACACTAGAAAATTTAAATTTTGAAAAATGGAGATGGGTTAAAAAAAATTTCAAAATAATTAAAATATTGTTTTTTTACTTTGTGAACAGTAAAGTTGTTGTGTATTATTATGAGATTAACTAACATATTTTTAATACACTCATGTCTGTTATTAAAGACATGAAAATCGGTTTCGAGATTCTTTTATAGATAAAAAAATTTTTTTCACGATTTTCTAATATTATTTTTAAAAAAAACAAAGCAAGAGTGTGTTTGAAATTTTCATTTCAATGTATCAAATTTCTTTTATATAAATTACTTTTATATCATGTATAAAGTTTTTGTTGTAAATTTAAGATTATGTTTTTTAACAAGTCTTAGAGAAAAAAAGTGGTAATTCAAGGGTATGAAAACGGGTAAATCTTAAGTATTTCTCTAGCTTAGAAATCGTCCCTCAATTAACTTCTTTAGTGACAAAAATGATATGTTTAGGGATAATTTAGATTGGGTAATTTAAGATCGTGTTTAGATGGTAAAAAGGTAATTTAGGGGCGTGAAGGGAGTAGGATAGGCGTATAATTTATAGCAGAAACATACGTCTCAAAACATAATGATGTTAGAAACGTAAATATCATTAAATAGATACTTCTTTTTTAAAATTAGGAATGATGATGAGTTTTTGCAATAGCAGGTGGAAATTATAGCAAAGGACCAGCCATTTTTATCCGATAACACCGGATCATTTATTCTAGAGATTAATAAAATAGTATGTGTATTGCCTAGTATTAATGTATTGGACATTTTTTTTTTTTTAAATTGCATTTTACTTTACGTGACATCACATGTTTTAACTTAAGCCAATTCTCAAATTTCTCGGAAAGTTTGCCATTGTTCTTAAGAAATTGTAAACACACATGCTCTAAAAATAATTGTTAATTTAAGTTTAGGTAGCTCTTATGTAGGGTTATAACAATAACCCGGATTATTTTAACAGTTTTGTAATTTTGGATTTTGGCAAAACATATAAGAACAATATTGTGACGGACTATTTGTCGAAAGGCTGGAATTTGTCTGGATTTTATTATTCATTGATATGCATATTAAAATCAAATGGATTGGAATTCGTTTCCTAAAGATTGTAAAACGAAGATTTCATGATTTAAAATTTCCTTTTTGATTTAATACGCACCTGCATACTACATAATGACTAACGCAGTTTGAATTTGTATGTTTGAATCAGTGTTTCTTTCAGACATCTTCCCTCGGGGACATTTCAAATTTTTTAATTTTTTTTTTGTGTGGGGGGGGGGGGGTGGTTCATTTGCCATTGGCCAGAGGCGTAACTAATGGGTTGGCAGTAATTTTTTAATTTTTTTTTTGTGTGGGGGGGGGGCTGTGTCATTTGCCATTGGCCAGAGGCGTAACTAATGGGTTGGCAGGTAGGGCATATTTCAGAGGCACCAGGCTAGCTGGGAGGGGGCAAAATGGGCTTTAATGGATTTTAATGGTTAAAAATAAATAATCACTTTCAGCTTTTAGGGGCGAGTAAAAAAAAAAGAAACTTGTCCCCTTACCCCAAACACTGTAGATACGCACCTGCTAGTGGAATCGAAATAAGGTTGATGGGGTGGTCCAGTGAGGTGTCACTTTTATATACATGCAGGTGTTGCATTTTCGAACAACTGCAGAGTTTGTATCGTGAAAGAGAGGAGGGCAAAAATATTTTCCCGCCCATGGTGGCACTAATATTAGCTACACCACTAGTCAGTGTATCTATCGATCCCGAAGTCAAGGAGCATTTTTATCTGGAAGTAGGGCGGAAATTGAGGGCGCCGATGAATCTTGATCGGTGGAGTGGTCTGCGGAGCCTGATACCCAGAAAATGTTTTATTACATAAAAGTCAAGTTGTGTATTTTAGAGTATATTTGAATTCAATATTTTTAGTTTACTTTTTTTTAACGGAGGGGAATATTTTTTAAGGTTTTGTGGAATGCATTGTGACGCCCAGTGCCATACTTAAACTGAACTCACTCAGTTATTGGCGTGTCCCAGAGAAATCATTAGGCAAAGTAACTTAAGAAAATGGGAAGTTCTCTGAGTGCCATTGTTTGGCGGCTTATAAGCTAGTGAATATTTATATTTATTTTAACGAGATCTCCAGTTTATGTAAAAAGTAAAAACTTAGTAATGCTCTTTAAATATTTCTACATCTTCTACTGCATGTCACTACTTTAAAAAAATATTGTCTCATTTTATTTAAATTTACCTCAATACAATAAACAGGTCTTAAGACTTACAGAAAATAAACGATCAAGATAAAGTCATTAGCCAATGTTTGAGATTGTATCACTGGAAATGAGGCACGAACTGTGGGAACGTGACTGCCATATTTTTTTTATTTGTTTTAGCCAACCCGGATGTTTAAAGTGTAGGCTTGAGATTAGGAAATGCTGGGTTACCTGAGGAGTTCTCAGATAAGTCCTGGCCCTTGGCCCATACTGTACCGTATTTTTGACATTTCTTTTTATAGTAGATAAGGTACCACGTGTTTACGTTGACATTAGAGGTGACTACGTTGTTTTTACTTTAGGTTTTACTTAGGTGTATTTTAACCCGCTTAACGTCGATGTTTATCGATCTCGTGATTTGAATTAGATTCATTCTAAAGTTTTCAAATGTATACACCAGAGTCTAGAAATAATTGAATTGGGTTAATAACTTGTCTTGTATAACCAACTAGATTAAGATATTTTGTAAATTTGTAGCAGTTTTTCTTTACAAAGTACAAACAAATTATTAAAGAGCGTCTCAGGTTTTAATTAGTGTTTGTGGAGGAATAAGAATAAAAAATTGGCGAACTTCAATAAAAAAAAATACAGATAATACATTCATGACATGAACACACTTTTCTGCGTTATGTAATTTCTAAATTTATATTAGTAATCTTTAAGTTGCGTTGGTCTTACGATTTGTTTAGTTTTGGTACAATATCAAGTGACATCAGTATATTGGGAAATACTTAGGTCATAATCATATAATTGTAAAAAAAAAAAAATTTTAAATGGCCAAATTGCAACATTGTATGCTCCTTAGCTAAATTTCATTTTATTTTTCTGTTATTTCACCAAAGTTTTACTATTAATTATTGATTAATTTTCCCCCGACAAGTGTGAAACTCACAACCAGCCAACTGGTTAGTTTCGTGAAAGTAAGTCCTTGAGGTATTAGATGATATTTTTTTTTTTGGGGGGGGGGGGTGTTTTTTTTTGGGAGGGTGGGGTTGAAGTTGGATGTCATTAGCATGTTTCGTGAAAGTAAGTCCTTGAGGTATTAGATGATATTTTTTTTTTTGGGGGGGGGGGAGTGTTTTTTTTTGGGAGGGTGGGGATGAAGTTGGATGTCATTAGCAATATATGCATAACTCTTAGACGTAAGAAATACAACATGCAAGCGTGGTGCTGCATACTAGCAAATTTGTCAACTGAACATATGTAGGAGTATAGATGTACATTGATTACAACATAACTATGTTAAGATTTTTTTAAAATGTGTTTCCCAACTCGTTTAAAATTATTTTATTTTTTGCTCATGTGTGTGAGTTCAAAATGGGGTTTAAGGTCAATTAGATCCATTAAAATTTATTGTGCAACATTTACACATTTTGCATTCATCAAAAAGAATTAAAAATTCATATTTATCCATTCCTGTTCTTAGGTCAACGAACACAATAAAATATTAGAACAAGTTCTTTTATTTATGTTTATTTAATATACTAATTATTCAAAATCACATACATTATCATATTTGTCAACGGGTAAGTTGCAAGATGAATGAAGTATGATTTTTCAATGGTTGCGTATTTTCATCCATTACGTAGCTATTGCTACGTTCTTTGTATATGTGACACAACTAGGTATGCAGTAAAAATAATATATATATATTTGAAAGGGAAAAATAAAGGAAATGTGAAACTTGCTTTCGCCAGAAGTTTAATCATTTACATAATCGCTTCCTCAAAATTGAAAAATCACGTGCTAAATTACATAAATGCAAACAAAAATGCATACAAAGGATTTATGTGAAAAACTTTTTTTTAATTACCTGACAATTATTATAATGTGCGGTAATCTCTTCATAAGCGTTACCATATAATCATTTTGAGTGTGACACGCCCGTTGTTGGTCAACACCGTGATGGAGACGTATTGTTGGGAGACTGGGAGACTGTGTGGTGCAATGTCTTGAAATGAAGACTGGAGCTGGTCTTAGGCTGTACCGTCAGTTTGACATTCTATTGGGTCCAACAGTTGAATCTACACACTGCACCTCGCACTCTCAGGATTCCTAGCTTTGCGTGATTACACCATCAACTTTTGGAGACGGGTGGATACTTATTAAAAAATCATATTATATATATTTATTATGCATCAATAGATGAAGCCAAAGAATATTCCGATGATAAATTTGTCTCTTCCACGAAAGCAGGAACATTAAGATGTGCCGCTGTGACAGAATCACCTGTACCAGACAGGGAGTTGTACGGGTTGTTACAATTTCTGCTTTGATCCCCAAGTTTAGAGTAAACCTTGTGTGTTCCTGTTGCTGCATCTGTGGTACCACCAATCATTCCAATCTCTTGTTTTTCACATTCGGGATTATTTTTAGTAATGTCGAGCTCGTAGTAAACTGGATGAGAGTCGTTTATAATAGAGTCATTTTCACCAAGGAATGGATTTTTCCTCTTGGATATGTTCATGTAAGTTTCCATCTGCTCTGATTGAGGTCTATCAACGAATAGAGGCTCATTATTTGAATGCGTGGTTTCTCTCTGGTTTTGGTCAATTGATGAATACTCGGGATCTGCAACGACACTGTTGCTATTTATCATTGTTTGGCCGCTTGCGCTTTTGTCTTTTGCCTGATGACTATTTAAATACACATTGGAATTTGATTGTTGAGGACCTGGACTATGAAGCCCAGGTTGCACGGAGTCCGTTTGATAAAACTCGCCATTCGAATAGGTGACAACGGTGTATTCGTCCATTATATTGGTGTTAACCGTTTGATATACCTCTTTAACGACATTTGTGTATCCCTGGTTTTCAGAGTTTATATTACAATAAGATGATATTTCCCTTTTCATGATATTATTGGAGTCTAGCTCAGCTGAATCTGTTACGCATTGCTTTTGAGACATACGTCGGGTATGCGCGTCATGTTTGTGTTGCCATCTCCTAAGAAGGAAAAGTCCGACTCCGAAAGCAAGTAGAACGAATAAACTTATGGTAACACCAAAAATGATTGGAAATTTATCATCTGAATCACCATTGCCACCATTAAACATATCAGTTTTAAGTTCAAGGGTGGACAAATCTTTTATGCTAGTGGAACTTACCGAAGTTCGATGTTTAATTAAAGTGAACGGAGTTGTTACTTTGGCAGTAGAAGTTGTAGTACTCTGTTTTGGGAAAAATGTAGTATTTCTTGTCGTCTGTGTTGTGGTCGATGAAGAAGTAACAGTAGATAACAAAGGTGTACAGGTAGGCGACGCATTACCATATTTAATAGTACCTTCAGGATTATAGAGTATATCCGCATTTTGATTATACCTCCAAATTATTTCAGCACAGTTCAACTGGCAAACAGATGGATTATTAATATGGAACAGTGCGGTGTAATTGTCATTTGATTGATTTAAATGTCTTTCGCAAAGCACTTTTCTAAGGTAAACGTCGAGAAAACAGATAAAAATATTATGTAAATTAAATACGTCTTCTTGAGTTGTATTTGAAATATATGTAACATAACACGTTTCCTTTTCATTTAAGCAACTTAGGTAAGCTATACAATTTTTGGTTGAATTGCTGCAAAGGCACTCCTGAAATCTGTATAAAAAATATATATAATATCATAAATAAATAAATAATCAGTTTTACTTATTGTAATTTGTATGTAAAGTATATCACAAATAAAAATTCGCTCTCTAGTCATGTATGTATGTATTTATGGCTATAACGCTATTTTCAATAGCGCTACAAAGACAATTCCATCTAAGTGCACTAAACTGTGTGTAAATCTATGTTAAATTCCTACAAAAGATTCAAATTCTCATTTCTAAAAGGGATTCTAAAAACACTAATAAAATATCGCTTCAATTTAAACATGCTTAGACCATTAAGTCCATAAATAAATAAATAAATATATGTATATTTATATATAAGTATTATCAAATAGAAATAAACTTAATATAATAAGATTACCAAAAGTTACCACTTACTGGGATTCTTATAAAGTAAGTTACCTGCATGCGTGTTTTGTCAAGTAAATTGGCATTTAAAAAATGAGGTTAGCGCTTTAATCAGAAAGATTGTTGGAAATATCTAACATGTCGCCACTAATGTGGGAGGGGGCTGAGGGATGTAGAGTGACTTTGTTCTTCGACTGTATTGAATCTGCTAGAATAATATAACGCCGTGATCTAAATAACTGTATACTTGTATTTGGGGATATAAGTTTCCCGCACTTTGCGCACCATCCTTAAAAAACACCAAAGTGTGTAATTTAGAGAAGACTTTTGGCGGGATGAAAAAAAATATGCGGCATATTTCTATTCGATTCTCTTATCGAAAAATATAATTTCCCATTGCAATATTTGAAATATTTGTCTCCACTGATTAGTCAGTGCTGAGTACACTCTACTCTTCTTCACAATTTACAATTAGTTCTGTTTTTTGTTTAGAACAAGCACAATTTTTGTATGAAAATAACAGAATGGCATCTTCTACATATTTTTGTAATAACATATTCTATAGGTGTATATAGCGAATATTTGCATACCTGAATAATCTGTACTTATTGAACGAAATATATGTTGGAAGTTCATTTGTGTCCAAAAAATGTCGATATACTCCAATTTCAAACATTAAGGTGGACAAACAAGTCTCAAATGCAAGACACATTAGCAGTGTTTGTTTCAAAGCCATTGTAATCATATTCGAAGATTGCATCTAAAAGATATAAAAATGTTGTAAAACAGAATAAATAGAAATAACGATTTTCAGTTTGACAAAAAAAGTGTAGAAAATACACCAATGCGATTAAGACAAAAGTCACAAAATGTCATCCTGCGTGCATTGTACAAGAATTCTAACTCTATTAAGCCCACTGGGTGCTTTGGAGTTTCAACGATACTGACATTATAATATATTATATTTTTATTTACTGCAGTTTCACAACAAGTGGTAGAATAAGAATTAAAAAAAACACTATAACATTAAAAATAATTCTTGAGAAGATGTTAAAATGGTGGTGAGAATGGAAAGGATTTCATTTTACCCTAATTCCATTTTACATAAAATATAACAGTATATTTTCTTCTATATAAAAATTACATTAATAAAATACAGACCTTGAGGGAAATGTTTTAACTTGCATACAAGCTACATCCATTTTAGTAGAAATGTACTATTTCAACGTGAGAGTTTTGTTTTATCAACCCGGATGTATAAAGCAGATTAAACGATGCTTTTAATATGACCCTCTAGAGTCACATGACTATTTTGATATCAGACTTTAGCCTAGTGGCTTATCTCACATCACGTTTTTGAAAATAGCCTGTAGAGATAAAGGGGGTTGAATTTCAGCGTTCAAATTTATACGTTTTTTCGAAATTCTTTTGACATATTTTGCTGTTCAAAAACAATTCACTAAATTTCTGAAAAAAATACAATCATTTACATAAAAAAGATCAAAGCTTTTTGGGAAACAATTTTTTGATGATTGTCTTATTATCTCTTTTTAAAAAAAAAAAATTAGTTTTTTTACTAAAAAAGTATATTTTACCTTTGGGAAAAATTACATCACTAAAATTGCATCACTAAATTGCATAACTAAAATTCATTTACCATCCTTCTCGAGACTCTATTTGATTTAAAATGACGATAAAAACATTTTAAATTAAAAAATAGTACTGAGCATGAAATATTTAATTTTTAAAATAGCTCATTACAAATATATATTTACTGGTTAAAATGTTCCCTGCTTTCAATTATTGCACTGTCAATCACAAAATAACCAAGTTTTTAAAGTAAAGCAATGAAATTTAAAAAAAAACAACAATAATTGCATTTTTTACCTATTTAAGTTTAAATATTTTATTGATATACATCCAAAAATAAGACTTACGTAACAGGCACTACCACTAACTCAAAAATTAACATTTTCGAGACAATTTTTTAAAAATAATTATTTTACCAGAAGCTACATTATATCACACAATAGAATATACTAATAAACAATAAAATAAACAACACAACTAGGCAAACCTGTCACTCTAAAAAGTATATATTTTAAATTGTTGTGAGGAAAATAAACCAATCAACACACTTTAAAAATTTAGACAAAGCTTCAATTTAAAAAAAAAAAAAAATTAAATAATTATTTTTTTAAAATTTATTTTTTCCCCATAATTTTAGAAATAAACAAAAAAAAATTGAATTTTTTTCTTCGATTACTACTTTTTTATACAAATCGCATGATATGTCTATGAACCTTGAGGAATGACTGTTTAAAAATGCCTTATCAGAGTTTTGTAATTATTCTAAAACAGATGAGGGATAACAAGACCAATAATGCGTTCACCGTTGGAAAAATCATTTTTAGTTTTACAAAACTATATGATCTGAAAATAAAATCACTTTTTACTCATTGATTTTTTTAAAAAAATTTAATTCTTCCGTGAAAGACTTGAGGCATGTTCTGGGAAAGACTAAGTTTCATGGACACGCAAAACTTATTCTTCTTCTTCTTCTTCTATATCTTAAGGGCCCACGATCAATTTATTGATCATTTTGGCTCCTATGCATGTAGATGGGATTTGCAATGTTTCTGTTAATGGTGGTGATGAGGAAATTATGCACTAGGGGTTTGAAGGCTTGAGGCAATAGACACAAATGTGTCTAGTGTTGTCGCCTCAACTGTTCCTTTTGAAAGATGGTTCCAGTCCCTGATTGTCTTGGGCAGGAATGAGCAGCTCCTATACTGGCTTCTTGCTGGTATGAGCCTGAATTGCCTGTCATGGCCTCGTCGCTGTCTATGGGGGAGAGGGACGAGTTTCTGTTTAATACTGGAACAGTGGACCAGCCCATTATTTATCTTGTACATCATGGAGAGCCTGGATTGTCGTCGTCGTTTCTCCAATGGTGACCAGCCTAGTGTTTCTAGCATGCTGCCAACACTAGAGGTATTCCTGTAGCGGTTTAGGACAAAGCGTGCTGCTCGTCGCTGGACCGCCTCCAACCTGTCAATGCTCTTCTGGGTAAATGGGTCCCAGAATGAAAATGAATAATCTAAAATTCTTTCGTACTAAAACAAACCAGGAATAAAAACAAAATTTCAACAAAAAAAAAAAAAAAAACTATAACAAATTAAGAAAACAAAAACAAAGAAAACCAGTTTTTTTTTAAAGTCTTTTTAAAGTAATCACAAGAAATAGTAGAAATAGTAGGATGTTCGCATTGTCATGATCATAAAGATCACGTGATTAAGGTGTTCCATTTTTAGTATTTTTTAAAAAAGAATTCATGTATTGATTTCCAGATGTTATGATGAGGTTTCTACATCATCTGGCTGAATTGTATAAATACATTAAAATCTTTGCTTTTTTCGCTAAGCATAGATTGCACGCAATTAGACTGTTTCACAGCTGTAATTTCAGTGTCAACATCATTCAATAGTGTTAAGCTGTGTTGATGAATTTATGTTAGGGTTCTTCTCAAAATAAAGTGATTAATTAAGGCTCATTAAGTGGTCTTGAACAATTCTCGACTTCAATAACTTAGTTATAATTGCGATGTATAATTTTATAGTTTGATTTACGTTGAACTATTTCTTGAATCTGCACATTAATCATTGAATGATACTGTTCCAACATTGTTGATTTTAGAATATTCAAAGGTTGTAAACCACAAAATCTGATGGGGCTTCTGAATTTTAAATTATGAAAATATGTTGTCATCGCTTTTATATGATAACGACGCAGTGTTAAATTGTTACATGTTAAAAAATGAAGAGGTTATAATTTTATTGAAACGCATGGAAACGTCGTTTGATTGTTTCGAAAAGAATATCCACTGATCTCATAATTTTAACTACCGAAGAAAATACTCGACAATCAGCGAAATGAAGATGGAGAATGTGTGCTATTAATTTTATTGCTGGTTGAAATTAACATGTAAATAACGTGAATTTCTGCAACAATAAAGCACATCAAACTATAAATATATAATATTTTATAAATTGGATACAATTTATTTCAGGCGCAGTTCAAGAAAATGATATCAAGCGCTGGGATGTCGAAAGTTTTAATTTGTCTGATGTTACACTTTAGTTACATTCAGTCAAATTTTATAGAAGAATACAAAACTGCAAACATCTGGTTCAGTAGTGAGCAGTTGAATAGGTAAGTAAGGACAATGCACATTTATTATGTTTCTATTTAAATTTTGGATAGTTTACTGTTAAATTACACGGTAATGCAAAAAAAAAAAAAAATAATGATAACTATTACACTTTTTGGCAGAATAGCTTACACTTTTGCTAATTGTAAGTAAGGACAATGCACATTTATTATGTTTTTATTTAAATTTTGGATAGTTTACTGTTAAATTACACGGTAATGCAAAAAAAAAAAAAAAAAAATAATGATAACTATTACACTTTTTGGCAGAATAGCTTACACTTTTGCTAATGAAGATACCTTTTACATAGTCTAACCTTAACATATTGAAATTTTAATTTTAATTTTCAACATTTAGGCAGAAAAGTGGAATACAGCGCACACAAAATTTTTAAAGTAATTTTAGATGTTCGATTACAATGAACATATATTTAGTTTAAGAACAATGTAAAATAAAATAAAAACTTTTTTTTATTGTTTTTAAAATCAAGTATAAATTGTTAATCCAGTTAGCTTAACTTAAGTATTACTCAAATCTCTGAGTAGGCGTCATCTGATATATGAATAAAGTGTCGTGTGTATTCAATAGTATTTAGCTATGTATAAGTATTTAATATCAAGTTTACCTTCAGAACACCATTATCGGGATATTGTTTTACTTGGCGTACGGTTACGAGTGCTGGAGGCTGTTTTTGTACGGCGCTTTAAATAAAGCACTTCGCATAACATAGGGCGCTAAAAATTTAATGTTGTAGGCTAATTCTTTTTTGTTGTTGTTGTTGAAATACAGCAGTTATTATTTATGTAAAACCCGCTTTCATTCTTTTGCTTTAAGTTGTGCTGATTTTCCGAATTTTCACGTTTCAATTGTCCGTGGTCAAGATATCGAAGGCCTCCAGTATAACCGTACAATCCACAGCTTAGTTGTACGTTTGGAAAAAAAAATCAAGAATAATTCGTGGATAACATGCCTTTGGCGACATATTAATTCATACCTATTCATACCTTGCTTTGGGGTTCAAGGTATTAGGAAACAATGTCCATTTAGTCAATATTAAAACATGCTCAAATTTATTCGGATTAATATTATATAAGTATATTGTCTAAGGACATCTGGAAGAGATTTTTTTCAACCAAGAGCTATGAATGGGTTCGCAAAATAGCTTTTATTTTACATTTCATAACATTTATTTTTCTTTTGCCTTTAGAAGCCCATGGGCCATTGGCAATATTTTTCTACGCTTTACGATCTCTGGTAATCTTCTTTTCTTCTTTTTTCTTTTTTTTTTCTTATGTTTAAGGGGCCCACGATCAATTTGTGAATCATTCTGGCTCCTGGTTTAAATTCAGAGTTTGCCTTCTCTTAGATGGGTTGCCGTCCAAGGCTAACGAGTCCCATCCACCCGGGGTGCTTGGGATGTTGGCTTTGGTGGGGATTGAACTCCGAACCACCGGCTTTTTGGTTTGAGACAGTTTAGACCGCTCGGCCTCCCAGCACCAGCACTTCTTTATTTCTGATTTTTTTTTTGGATTGGGTTATCGTACAGTATAACTATATTTTACTCTGTTTTCGAAAAATTAGAACAATGATTACATAATTTAATTTCAGTATTACATTTTTTCAGCTTAAAAGAATGCATTTGTAATGAAAAGACCGAAGAATGTGTTATCAGCTATAAGTCTGAAGGACAAGATTGGCATGTGAAAGATATTGCACATACTTTAAGTTATGATCAAGAAAGGTTTTATAATTTCGCTTGTATCAGGAGCGGCCAGTCCAGCACCATAAATTGCTGGCGTCCAAATATAGAATTTATAAAATATTATGTACAAACATTTTTTTACACAAATGAAATACCTATTTGTGAATTTTGTTACATTGATGTTGAAATTTAAACGGGGCTGAAACACTATGTACGAAGAAATCGTGCACATATTTCTAGATTTAATCTTCCAGGTTCTAGTTCATAAGACAGTCTTGAGTAACTTAAAAACGAAAAGCCAAAACCCACAAAAAAAAAAGAAATAAAAAAAAGCAAAAAAAATGTAGCCTGGGT